GGGAAGGGGATCCAACACACATCTCCAAGTAGGACTCAGCAAGTCCCAGCTGTGTTCCAAATATCACAGTCTTTGCCTTTCCATTTCTCTCCAAAGTACTGCACTAAGCTGCTTTCCAGAGGATCTGTAATTAGAGCCATGTGGGTTCACGAGGGTCAAGCTGGTATGCTGGGAAACAAGTCAGGACACCAGAAGAATGCACGTCTCTAATTTCAGGGAACCACAGAGCCAGTTCCAGCCCAGGAGCTGAGCATGGACTGGGGGGTTGGCACATCCCAGGCACCTGCACTGGGCAGGCATGGCTGGTTAATTATGCTCTTGAGGCAGAGGAAGTGTGCAATTAGGGTCTGGAGTGGTGAGGGGCACATCAGTGTCCTCAGCTCTGCCTTTCCTCAGTACTGCTGGTAGCTCTGAACCTGTGTCAAAGTGGTTATCCTAACAAAGTGATGAAAGTTATCCATGAAGTCATGGCACTGGGTAAAAACTATGCCCAAAACTAAACCTGGAATGAGATGTGCTCACTCTCCTGGGAAATTCCCTGCAAATGCAAGCTCTGCAGCACTTCAGCCTGACCTTCAGGCCTAGATCTACAGGACTGCAGAAAGGCAAGGAGACTAAAACATACTTGTCGTTCTGTCCAAGCAGCATTGTCATTTGCCTCTTCTCACCCTTCAGTATTTTGGGGATTTCCTCCAGAAGTGGCTTTTCCCAGGTCACAAGCCCATCCCTGATTCATCCTTCTCCAAAACATGAGTGTTTTGGGCACCCCAGCTGTCCTGTTTCACACACACCAACTTCTGGCTCTTCAGTTCCAGCAGTGACTCCAAACACTGATTTCGTTACAGAACATGAAGATGGTTCCTGTCCCTGAAAAGGCTTACGGGACCTTTTTTGAAGGAGACTGTTACATCATTCTGCATGTAAGTAAGACCAGCAAACACTGATCTCTGTCAGGCAGCTGGTCCAGCTCGTTTTGTTTAGCTCTGACTTGGTTCCTAAGTACCTTCTCTGATGGCAAAAGCACTGTGGGTTAAAGTGGTTGTGCATCTGTATTCACCATCTAATCATGGATATGAACTGAACGTGGCTGTTGCAACAACACTGTCTGTTTAGTAAACCAGAAGTCATGTGGGGAGGGGGGGGGGAACCATTAACTCAGCAGTTCATTAGAAGTGTTTATCTTCTAATCAACTGAGTCACGCCCAGGCATGGCAGAATGGCCAGAGCATTCCTGGCAAACTGAATCAAGGCCCACATTTGCATGATTTATGGGAGTCTTTTTGGGGATGTGAGAGGTGGCCAGCTGGAGGGTCTCATTTTCAGCAGGTGATGTGGGATATGAAGGTGCTCCATGTCGTGTGTCACGTAAGCAGCAGAGAGGCTCTGCAGCCCTTCTCGTGTCACCATTAAGACACATCATCAGTCCTGCCCAAATTTGGTCCAGAGCTGCTTGCAACCAGCTGAACCCAGGTTAGGCAGCAGCATGAGGGACTTCTGAGAACCAGCCCTTCTCTGTGGGCTGTGCAAACTGCCTTGTGTTCCCAAAGTTGGGTGGGAGGATGATGTGTTACACCCACCTCCTAGGATTCCTTCCAAATCTCTTCATCTGCATAGAGAAATCCGGGTCCCATTGTATCAAAAAAACATCCATATGGGGGAAACCAGAAGCATTTCCCACTTCCTGGGTCTGAGTGTCCCTCCTGCAAACATCCCTGTCAGTGAAGAGACAGCAACACCTCCACTGTCCCACAATAACCAAGGGCACATCTGCCTCATGTCAGGCTGGGATGGCACCACAGGATGAGCCTCCTGCTCAAATTCATCAGGCACATGCCTCTAGGATACCTTTGGAGTGCTAAATCAACTTGGTTGCAGCCACCCAAAGACATGCTTAGAGCAGGATAGGGGTGTCCCTGCAGGGAGCTGACAGTATAAATGTGGATTTTGATGCTCACAGGCTCAGCTTCTGTTGCAACAGCTTCCCCAGGTGGAAGAGCCCTTTATTAGCCCAATACCCTTCTTTGCCCTTGAAGACAGGAAGGTAAAAATACTCATCTTTGAATTCTGCTTCTTCACTGGAGTCTCTCCAAGTAAGGATTGTTGGTGGGACAATGGGACTTTGATCATCTTCAAAAGCAATGTATTAAATGGAGCGATTTTTTCCACAAATTAATTATCTGTGCCTGAGGAGCTGAGCCGTATTTTATTTAAGTTCTTCTGCTGTGTTTCGCTGTGTGCACAAAGCAAATAAACAGAACTCAGTGTCAAATCCAGCTTACCAAATGAGCTTTTATTGCCTTTCCCAGGCGTCCACGATGGGGTTTAACACAGTGGGCGCTGAAAAATAACTGGCACAGCTCACGTAACACTAAGCACACCTGTTCCTCAGCCTGCTTGCCTCCTTTTTCTAGGCTGTTGGGTTTTTCTGTAATAAGATGAATCTCAGCATGCACACAACCAGCTCAGCTTCATTTGGAGTTATGTCTGTTTTGCAAGTCAGCAGGAATTCCGATGCAGTTTGTGTTACTATGTCGTGTGATGCGAGAAAGACAGCAGGAAAGAAGGGGTAGTATCTCCAGGCAAATAAATAGCAGTGTGCAGTGCATTTCAGAAGGTGATCCCTGAGAATAATCTGCTCTAAGTTTTAATATGAAACTCCACGAAAGTAGGACAGGCTGAACGCCTTAATTTTTGTAATTGCACAGGTCCTCAGTTTTCCTTGATAAAGAGCTGTGAAAGAATATCCAACAGAAACAATATGTTCATAAATTCCATAAATGCTCTCCCAGTTAAGGAGAGCTCCAGGCCAAGCTCCCAGGGAGTACCTGAGGCTCCATCCTCTCTCCCCTTGGCCAGGAGAAGGGCACAAGTGGGAAAGAGCTCTTTGGTCACCCTGGCCAGTGATATTATTTGAAACACACATGTATGGACTGTGAGTTCATCCTGACTTGTCTTTCTCACCTCTCCCAGAGCAAAAGAACCTCTCGTGGCACCGCTGTGGATTTGCATTACTGGATTGGGAAGGACTCCTCCCAGGATGAGCAGGGGGCCGCAGCCCTGTACGTCACCCAGCTGGACAGCGCACTCGGGGGGAACCCTGTGCAGCACCGGGAGGTCCAGGGACACGAGTCCGAGACCTTCCAGAGCTATTTCCGCAACGGCATCATGTGAGTAGCCCAAAATGCCCTGCTACGAGGAGGGTCTTGGCTTTTCTACATCTCAGAGACATCAGCATTTCAAAAAACCTGAAAAACTGTGGGTCGGCACTGAAGCTGGTTCAAGTTCAGAACAAAAGTTTCCCATTTTCATAGAATGGTTTGTAACACCGAGTCTGGAATCATGTCTCTACTGGTCATTTTCCCAGATTTTGGCAGCAATTGCATCTTAACCTCCCTCTTGTTCACCCTAGGGTCTTCCTTCCTCTCCTCCTCACACTCTGGATTAAAGTGCCCATTCAGGGCACTCCAGACTAAAATCTGCCTTGAAGTGAAGTGCTGATTTGGCTCATACTGGGAGTAATATTCCTGTTTGAAAGGAGAGTTTGAACTTCTGTCATCTAAAAGAATCCAATCTCGTGGTCTTTGCTAACGCTGGGGTTGTTGGAAGAATTCCAATAGGTCTCCTCCAGAAGGGTCTTCATGGGCAGTAAACAGCATAAGGACCTTGATTTTAAACAGCCAAAAAGAATTCAGATGAAAACCCATCCTGAGTCAATATCTCCATCCCAGCCTGGTTTTTGATACCTCTGTTTTGTGCATTTCTACAACCTCTCATGAGTTTCCTCAGAACTTTTCTGAGACAGAAAAGTGCTTTTACCCTCATCTTGAAGATGAGTAAGGAACAATGAAGGACTGAAATTCAGACCTTCATAAACCATCTATTTGGAAACCTGTCTGCCACTGGAATCTTCTAATTTGGACTTCACCTTGGTCTAAACCACATCCCTATGGTCAGCCAGTTAGTCTGAGGCAGAATGAGAAATTAAAGCAAGCTCTTTCCACATCTTGACAGGTGGACTGATCACCAGAACATCCTTCTGTGGATATCTTAAACTGGCCCAAACAAGTCTAAAGTGCTGTGAATCACTCACATGGCTGACCACATTTGCCAGTCTCTCCCAGGCTGTGATAAAATACATATATTACTCACATGGCAAAAACTATAAACAGCAGTTGCCTCTTTTTCTCCCATAAATGGCAATGACATCATGTTAATTATTACTGTAGTGTGAACAATGGATCTGTTTTCTAAAAGGGTCCAGGATATGTGGAAGTGGGTTAGACTTGCCCAAAACCCCTTATAAAGGCTCTGGGACTTCCCTGGGGAATTGTGCCCTGTCAAGATGTGAAAGTTGCACAGAAGGGAGGGGGTGGCATCATGCGGTGATGTGATACAGTGCTAACAGTGGCTGTTGCAAGGTGTGTGTTCAAAGGTGGAAGAACGAATTTGGGAGGTAAAATCTGAGAGGAAGGCAGACCCCTGTACCTGTTTACAATTTTGTTCTGCTTATGGCAACAGTTTCCTATCTGTTCTACTTTTAATAGAATGACTACTCTGAAGGAAGCCAAATTTTAGCAAAACGTTTGTTTTCTGCGAAGTCTGCTTCGTGTGTTGATTCAATGTTTATGGAATATTTCAATTCCGAGATGTCACTGCCATGGTTAATGGGATTTTCAGTTTGGTTGTGTTATGCTACCATTGCCAGCCCTCACCTGCCTGTTGATCTTCTCCCAGGATGTTTGCTGGTTGGAATCAATGATCTTCGAAGCCTTGTCCAACCTAAAAAACTCTGTGATTCTATAATTCTATGCAGAGCAGCAACACAAGACCCATAAGAGCCAGACCCACAAGGCAGACGGGCACTGTGAGAAGTCATGGTCTGACCACACAGCATTTCACATTCCATTTTTAGCACTTTGAGGTTATTTTGGCTCTAGATTTTTTTAGTTGTCACTAAAAGCTTGGGATTGTTCTCAGAGGATAGAGGGGAAGGTATTTTCTAACCGGCTCTAACTCTTTATTCTCTGCTACAAAACAGCTACAAGAAGGGAGGAGTGGCTTCAGGATTTAAGCATGTGGAGACCAACATGTACAACATCAAGCGCCTTCTCCACGTCAAGGGGAAGAAGCACGTGTCAGCTACAGAGGTAAGAAGGAGACCCTTCTTTTCTTATGGATCATTTCTCCTTTGCTTCTCCTCCCACACTCATTTTCAGCTGGGTTTTCCCGCTGGATATCTCATCTCTGCTCCGGGACTTCTACCTCAGGGTAGTTTTCAAGACCTCACTGGGGAGTTTGGTATTCCATGAGAGAAGCCATTGGGCTCAGCCAGTAGCTGAGTGCCAGAAGGACGAGCTTGTCGTTGCAACCCTGTTCTTACATCCCAGGGACAGGTTTGCAGTGGCTGTGACTTGTCACCTGCAGCTCTTGTGCTCCTCAGTTTGCCAGATGGTTTCATTTCCTCGTGACAGGTCGCGCTTTCCTGGGACAGTTTCAATAAGGGCGATGTTTTCTTGCTGGACCTTGGGAAAGTGCTGATTCAGTGGAATGGACCCAGCTGCAGCATTGCTGAGAAATCCAGGGTGAGTACAGGCCAAAGCCACTTAGTTCACTGGTGGTATTTTTTGATGCCGGGGGAAAAAAAAAATAAAGAAAAAATGCTCAGTGTTTGCGCAGTGAAAATCTTAATAAAAGAGCAGCAACATTGAGATGATTGGATATTAGGAAGAAATTTTTTACAGAGAGAGTGATCAGACACTGGAATGGGCTGCCCAGGGAGGTGGTGGATTCACCATCCCTGGAGGTTTTTAAGATGGGACTGAATGTGGCATCAGTGCCATGGGCTGGGAACCACGGTGGGGTTGGATCAGGGGCTGGACTTGATGATCTCAGAGGTTTTTTCCAACCCGGTTGATTTTATGATCCTATGAACAGAGAAACTAATGATAAAACTACTTCCTCTTCTGCTCATTTTAGAAGCCCATGGAAGTTCTTTCTTCTGATTCAGACCTCAGCTTGGTTTCACAGGCAGCTGCGGGCCCATCATTAGCTCTGGCCCCAGAAAGTCATCCAGCTCCCTCTGGGGAGGTCTATTTCCATCCCTCTGTGCCCTATAGTTTGCATTATGTAGGATTAGAAACTCAGAAACACCAGCAGGTTTAGCTGCAGTAACTGCCCCCGGGGTAGATTAATTTTAATTTTTTGTGTACAGCATCACAGGGAATTCCGGCTTGGTCAGTGTGAGACAAGTAGGAATACACAACCCAGGTGCTGATAGGTCAGATCCATAGCTCTTGAGGCACTTTGCAAAGGGATCATTATCCTTATTTTACTGGCAGAGGAACCAAGACACAGAGATGTAACACAGCAAGATACATCAGTGGGCCATCAGCAAAGCTGGTGGCCAAAACTCGTAGCTTGTCATTATTATAACATTTAAAGGCAGGTGGGTGTGCTCTGCACGTGGTGTCCCCTGATGAGCTAAGAGAGGGGGAAGCTTCACAGGGAATGTGGTTTTTCAGGGCACAGTGGCTAAAGGAGAAGATCCTGTGGATAATGTAGAAGAGATAAAGCAGGGCTGTACAAAGGAGGGGGAGCAGGGAGAGGGGTGGCCGCTGGGTTCGTCTCAGGCCCCAAGCAGGTGATCTCCTATGCCTGGTAAACAGGGGCACCTCTCAAAGCTGTTGCAGTAAGAGTCGTGGGGGGGGAAAAAATATAATTTAATGGAAAATGGAGATTTCAGCCTAATTAGTCGCTTGACATTTCACGGTGCTTTTTTCACAGAAGACATCCGCGGGTTTTTTTGAGCGCTTGAAGCATTTAAATGTAAAATGTCACCGCGGGGCACCCGGGGTCCTGCAGCTCTGCAGCATCCTGCCTCATTGTCCTCAGCATGTGTGTGCATCTCCCTCCCAGACCATCCCACCAGACCTGCTGATGCACAGTCACACACACAGGCAGTGCCTGCTGTGGCTCCCACACGCCCGTGCCCTGCGGGAGCAGCAGCCAGCGACTGTAATAAGCGATATTTGCCTACGAGTTAGTTAATAATCAGACACTATAGACACATCTGCTTTTTTAATAGCTGAATTTGGAGGGCACTGGAAGCTGCAGAGAGCTGTGGTGACGTGGCTTGGGCTCAAGTCGTTGCTCCAGGTCTGGGGCGATGAGTTTGTTGTGTGTGTCAGGACTTACCCCTCTGATCCGCGCACAGGGCCTGGCGCTGGCTCGCAGCATCAGGGACAGCGAGAGGGGCGGCCGTGCTCAGATTGGCATCATTGACAACGAGAAGGACTCCCCAGACCTGATGCAGATCATGAGGATGGTGCTGGGAGAGAGGCGTGGGGAGCTCCGAGATGCCATCCCGGACACGAAGGCGGATGAGCTGCAGAAAGCGAACGTCCGGCTCTACCAGTAAGTCCAGGGATGTGTCCCAAAACCCCTTCCTTCCTCACAGGCAGCGCTGTGAAGGCTGAATCTTCTGGGTGACTGTGTCTTTCAGTGTCTATGAGAAGGACAACGACCTGGTGGTACAGGAGATCGCCACCCGGCCCCTGACACAGGATCTGCTCCAGCACGAGGTGAGAGAAAGCCAGAGGCCTTCACAGCGGGAAAAGGGTGCTGTGGCTCGCTTTGTTTTCAGCTGAGCACCTCTTTCGATGGGATACCCTGTTTCCTTCCATCATTAGGACAGCTCAGCCCTACTACAGTGCCAGCAGCCAGAGATAGGTGGTGCGTTGGAGCCGTTCCAACCGGAGATGGCAAATTGAGGCTCTCAGCCAAGGATTATGTTGGCTTGGCAGTCAGAGTGAAGGAGAGCTGCATACCAGGAGTAAATTCCAGATGGAGTTAAAGCTTCTTAATACCTGATGTTGAGAGATAGCCTTCCCAGAGCAAACAAATAACTCTGCTTACAAAACCAGAGAGATACGTTTTCCTGCTGTAGCAAGTGGCTGGTCTCAGTCCCCCACCCTGGAAGGAGATTCCTTACAGGCCCTCTGTGCAAAGGCTTTCAGAGGACAGAGGCTTTCCTTCTGACTGAAATTTCTCAGAGAACTGCTGACCCTTAATTCTCTGCAGTGCAAACCAGCCTATTCCAAAACATGGTGCTGCAAGGTTCCCCCTCCCTCATTCACCCTGGTTAAATCTTGTTAAACCTTGTTAAATCTCAGGCTCCCTTTGCAGGCATATGGACCATTCCTTTTCAAAGTTCAGTCTGAAAAATGAGAAGCCTTTGGCCACACAGTGTGTTTGGAGCACCAGCTCTCTGCAGATGGGCTGCTCAGCAGACATCTCATCCCCTTTGGGTTTGGGATTCTACTGAGTTCACAGCAGTGCAACACTTTTAGCTCCAGAGCAGGGACACAAAATAGTCATGCAGAAGAGGTTTACTGGACTTTCCCTGCTCCTTTAGTAGCAGATTTGGCGTAAATGAGCACCACCAGCAGCAGTGCTGAAGCACAGCAGGCTGAGGGTGATATTTCAGCATGCACTTCTCCTGCTCCCTTTTAGAGCTGCTTTTTCTGCTGGTTTGAGAACATCACCTATGAGACAGTAATAGCCAGTTTGGAGCAATGCTTAAAAAAAAAATAAAAAATCCATATTTTAACTCATTACAATTAGAAGTCATCTGGGTCAGGTGTGCTTGCAAATTCAGTGTACCTGTGAACCCCTTGCCCTGTGGGGTTGGTGGTAGTTGTGGTCCATTTATGAACCACAATAAATCCATCCTCTGTTACCCTTTGCTAGTGGTTGTTAGAGCTCTGCAAGGCAGGGAAATGAGCTAGATCTGCATCTACCCCAAATCTTCAAGAAGGATCCAGCCTGAACAGGCTACAAATGATGACCTTTGTCTGCACAGAGCTTTTCACATCTGTTTTTTTTTTCCTGTTTCCTGTTTTTTTCCGTTTCACCTCAGGACTGCTACATTTTAGACCAAGGTGGTTTCAAAATTTACGTCTGGAGAGGAAAAGCCTCCAGCCCAGAAGAGAAAAAAGCAGCCTTCACCCGAGCTGTGGTGAGTTGTAATACGGTGCAAACAATGCCGTGGGAGGTTAATATGTGCTGATCTGGGTCTGACCACTAATTACAATTAAGTGTAGGTTTTGGGGAGCTGGCCTGTGTAATAACAGAGACAGAATTCGAATGTCTAAGGGAGGCATGATGACGCAAACACAAAACTGTTAGTCATCAAATTGTGCTAGGACTAAGACCCGACACTAAAACTAGGAAGAAATTGGTTAAAGAAAAAAAAAAAAGTATAAAATAAAATACTTTGCTACATGGTAAACAGTGAACTTCTGGAATTTGTTGATTCGAGAGACGGTGGAGTCAGAGAATATCAGCAGGGTTGAGATGGGATTAGACAAATTCATAGTCAAAAGGTGCATGGACAGACATCAAAGGGGTTCTCATATCCTCTCTAAGATCCGTGGCCCAGTGTTGTGGATGCTGAGGAGAGAGAAGGGATCACAGTGAGGACATGAGCCACTAAGCTCATGTTTGCTCACTGAACAGCATCTCGTAGTGCCACTGTCCCAGGCAGCACAGAACACTGCTCTGACCCCAAAAGGCATCTCTTGTGTCCCCACCAGTGGGGCTGGGCCCAGGTTCTGTGTGTGAATTTGAAGGCGATATGGGGCTCTTTACTGGGCAGAACGAGATCTGCTGTTAACAGCTGTTTGTTCAGATTGGTCAACCTGAGGCAAGACCAGGGCTCATGACAAGGTAGAACACACCAGCCTAGTGCCCTGGCTCATTCAGATGAGCTGCCATGTGGTTATTTTCTGGCAGATCATGCCTCAACTCTTCCTCTCAGGAAAAAATAGCCTGGAGGGAGCCTGAGCAAGTAAGACATTTGGTATTTTTTTACAAATTGGAAGGTGAAGTGAAGGCTACAGAGAAACTTAGCTTTTAATTATCTGTTTACACAAGGGAAGACCATAAATGGCTTCATCTTCAGTGAGATCTAACCAGGAGATACTGAACTTCATGGTTCCCCATTCAATAAGGCCCTACCTGGAGACACCCAGCTTCAGTGTAGATTGCACGTATTGTCTCAGAGAAGAAAAGCTTAAAAAAAAAAAAAATCTTTGCCTTAATACTTGTTTCACTGTCTTCTGTGCTCCTTACAAGAGCTTAACTCAGGCCCTTTTTTAGTAGGCAGTGAGCTCTGCAGACTCTGGCCCTGAGCTACACATGTAGAACAAAAGATATCTCTTTCTTTCAGTGTGGCAGGTGGGAGGGTTGGGAGGACCATCTGCTCTGCTTTTCCCCGGGGGTAGTGTGTGGCTGCAGTATTTACAGCAGAAGATGAATGCTCAGGAAGCCACAGTCAGGCTCCTCTGCCCAACCACTGCTGTCAGCGCTGTGCCTCGGGTCATCCTGGAGCCTGCTGAGATATAAACACAAAGCAGTTCCCAAAACTGAACAAGGATTTTGGCACTGTGGCAGAACACAGGTCATTTTCTTCCTTCTCTTGTATCTTCTTGTGTCGAGCACCTCTGGTGAAACAGTCTTTTTACTCAAGAAGAAATAATGTGGGTTTAGGGGGAAAAGAAAGTTAAGAAAAAAAGATTTTGAGTGTTTAGTCCCTTCAGAACACACCTCTGAGGTGCTGAGCTGCTTCCATCCCTTCTCTCCCTTGGCATGCATGCTCTCTGTCATGTACCAGTCTTCCTGGCTTGGAGAGGGACAAAAAGTTTGGAGAAAAGCAAAGGACTGAAGTAGGCTCTTGGATCATGGGTACACCCCATCATTGCTCCTTCCCAGATCCATCACCAGAAGCCATCTATGGAAATAGAGGAGGAGGCTTTCCACTTCACCCACTGAGTGAGATTTTCTTCAAGTCTAAGGTGCCATGTAGAGATTAATTTTAGGATGTGATCCAAGTGGTCAGGCTGTAGGGGTAGGGTTCAGTGCCCTAAAGACAGAAATAAACATGGATACTACAGTGAGAGCTCACAGTCACCTCTGTTTGTAAGTCTGAATGCAGGTTTTGGGGTGAACCCTGCCCTTGGTCAAGCCATCGTGTTCAGTGAGGGACATTCCCTCTTTGGGCTGGTTCAGGTGCACATCCCTTTTCACATGCCTGTGAAAAGCTCACTGTGTCCCTCACTGATGACCTTTCTCAACCCCACCAGGGTTTTATCCAAGCCAAGGGCTACCCTTCATCCACCAACGTGGAAGTGATCAATGACGGGGCAGAGTCAGCCATGTTCAAACAGCTCTTCCAGAGGTGGACGGAAAAGAACGAAACACAGGGTCTGGGAAAAGTCTACACTACTGGAAAAATTGGTGAGCACGTTGGTCCTGCATTTGTCTTTCCTACCCTGAGGGGACATGGTTCACACCGAGTGTCTCCTGCCTTCAGTATCTTGAAAATCTGGTGCACGTCCTTCTTGTGCCTTGTGCCTTCCATCTTCTGCAGTGGATGCAAAGGATTCATCGACTGACATTCAGAACTGCTGAGGCTCCTTATGTGAACCAACCTGCCACTTATTCCAAATGTAAATGTTGGCAGACAGTCACTCCCCCCTGAAAAATCGTGTGCAAAATTTCACGCTTGCAGGACTTACCCCATTTTCGTTGTGAAGGGCTAATGCTGACCCCGATGAGGAGCTGCTGAACAGCATTCTGATTTCATTTACACTGGCATCCATCCAAGACCCTCCTGACGTCAGTGGATCGATGCTGTATTTACACCGGGCGTAAACAGTGTATTTATCACACTGCTGAAGTGAATATTACAATGCATTAACCCCAGAGAGCAAACAATACCAAAGAGAAGGAACTTGTTGATGAGTGATGGGAAGATGACAGAGATGCTGAACGTCTCCATCAATAACAACCTGAGAGCCACAAATCTCTCTCCCTTGCAAGTTCTCTCTTTTCTCTCCACCTCTATTTTTCTCTGTGCTGTCCATAAATACTCTCTCTTTATTATGAGCTGGAGAAATGTAGGCATTTTATTTCTGGAACCAACATTTTGAAAGGAGGAAAATACAGATTTGGAGAATAATTTTCCATTTTCAGTCAGGAGACAACTAATATTTTTTAGCAGCCAGTCATCACTGGAACACACTATATGGCCAGTTCCATCCTGTAACAGGCCAGCACTGAGGTGTGTGAGCTCTTGCATATTCAAAAATCAGCACTGTTTTTTACCAGTGGCTTCTTGCGACCCTGGACCGTTTCTCTCTTGCATGTATAGCAACTGTGTGTGAGGGTGATGTGGAGGGTTTGTCTGTTATTGTGCATTCACTGGGTTCTTGTTTTTGTTCTGCTGGTGCACACAGCCAAGGTGGAGCAGGTGAAGTTTGACACCACTCAGCTCCACGCCAGGCCAGAGCTGGCTGCTGAGCAGAGGATGGTCGATGATGCCTCCGGGGAGATCGAGGTGAGAGAGCTGCTTTTTGTGGACAGAGGGTGCAATGATCAGTGTGTTCTCAAGCATCACTTGGCCTAGAAAAGGGGAAACTAAGGAGAGACCTCATGGCAGTCTACAACTTCTTCACAAGGGGGAGGGGAAGGGCAGGCACTGATCTCTTCTCTCTGGTGACCAGTGGCAGGACCTGAGGGAATGGCCTGAAGCTTCAGGGGTCTGTTAGAATCAGGGCTGTGCTCTGTCTCCACCTTGACTCCGCTGCTGCTCACCAAGATGTTTCTTTCGCCAGGTGTGGAGGATTGAGGACTTGCAGATGCAGCCAGTGAACCCCAAGACGTACGGGCAGTTCTACGGGGGCGATTGCTACCTGGTCCTGTACACCTACCTGAGATCAGGCAGGCCCCACTACGTCCTCTACATGTGGCAGGTGGGTCAAACCAGAGCAGAAGGGACTGTCCTGTGTCTGCTGTAGAAGCCTAAAGCTGAAGGAAGGAAACAGCTGCACAGAAAAATCCCAACCCACGCATCCAGGAGAACTGAGATACCCTTTGCTTATCAGTTGTCCATTTCAAACATCCCAAGCTGTGCTTTGTAGGCAGCGTGGACACTGATCCCACACTGGCATCGGGCTGAGAGCCAGCAAAGTCAGAGTGAAGGATTGTGGGGCTTAAAATGCTGAGGTCAAACTCTGGAGTCCAACTGTCCCTCAAAGCCTCAGTTCCTGGAGTTTTGTGGGTGTATGAACATCTTTGCCTTCATTTTTTAAGTATTATTTCCCTCCCCTGACATGTAGAAAGAAACTTGAAAAATAGGATGCTAAAGTCTGCAAAGCCAGAATGCAGGGGAAAATTTAAATACTTGGAAGTTTTAACTCCGACATTCCAACGCTTGGAACTGGCAAGATGTTCTGTTGTGTCGCCTCTAATCCCACGTGTCACCTCTCTGCTCCCCAGGGCCGCCACGCCTCCGTGGATGAAATCACTGCCTGTGCCCTCAATGCCATCGAGCTGGACAAGAAATACGGGGACGAGGCCGTGCAGGTGCGGGTGACGATGGGCAAGGAGCCCAGGCACTTCCTGGCCATCTTCAAGGGCAGGCTGGTCATCTACGAGGTAACGTGGCCCTGTGAGCGTGGGCAAGGGAAGCACCAGTGATGGCTTGGCAGCTCCAGTGGAAATGATCCAGAAAAAAAAAATGGGCTGATACTCAGGAAAGGAGCTTGCCAGGTGTGCACAGGCTGGCAGATGGAATGGTGGAACATTCCTGGTACTTCCCGAGTGGTGTGAGCACCGTTTGTGTAAACACAGTCCTGGACTGACCCAGACTCCATGTCCACCCCTGAGCTCCAGCACTGATGTGTGTTGTTCTTTCCAACTCTATCCCAAAATAATCTGCAGAGTTAGAATAAGGCAATCATCCTGTGACTTATGGATAGTGCCATCCAGAGGGGGTCCTCCAAAATATCCTACAGTCATGATTTGACAATTCAAGTTGTCCCTCCCTGAATTATATCACCTTAACTACTAATCCACTTCACTTGCTGCTGTGGCTGCTGTCATCTGTGGTGGAGACATTGCAAATGTCTGTGGAAGAGAGGGATTATCTCAGCTCCCAGTGCTGGTCCCACCATGCAGCTTCCACGGTGGGTGCTGAGCTAAGCTGAGCACAGCTGGAAATCAGGGTCCGGCTGCCTTGCCCACTTTGTGTGGCAAATACTTTACAAACATTAAGATCTACTCACACTGAGTTTTAACATCTTGATGGGAGCTGATCAAGCCTCCATAATCAGGGATAAATGTGGAAGTTTTGCCACGTGGGTTTCATTCTGACCCGGGATCAAGAAGGTGTTTGGATTTCCTCACCTGCTCAGTGCATGGTCCATCACTGCAGCAGTGGGGAAGGGCCGTGAGCACAAAAGCCTTCATCAAATCAGTGGCACCCCGGATCTGTGTGTGCCATCCTCACTTCCAAGTGCCATCCTTCCCTCTGTTCCCCTGCAGGGTGGCACCAGCCGGGCTCAGAAAAGCGCTCCCGAGCCAGCGATCCGCCTCTTCCAGGTGAGGGGCACGGATGAGGTGAACACAAAGGCCACGGAGGTGCCAGCCAGAGCCTCCTCCCTCAACTCCAACGATGTCTTCCTGCTGACCACCAGCCAAGTCTGCTACCTGTGGTGTGGGAAGGTGAGGCTGCAGGAAGGGGAGATGGCTGAAGGAAGTCCGAATATGCTGATGTGGGGCTTGAGTCTCCTCCCTCCACTGAGCTGTGGAGGTGAACACTTGGGCAGGTGGCCAAGGATTGGGGAAATGGCCTCAAGTTGTGTCAGGGAAGGTTTAGATTAGATATCGCGAGAAACTTCTTCACAAAAGGGGTTGGCAGGGAAGTGTCAGAGTTCCCATCCCTGGAAGTATTCCAAAAAATATATGGATGTGGCATGTAAGGACATGGTTTAGTGGTGAACACGGTGGTTTTGGGTTGATGGTTGGACTTGATGACCTTGCAGGTCTTTTCCAACCTTAGTGATTCTGTGATTCTGTGAGAAAGGTGCACCCAGGAGGCTCCAGAGGCTCTGATCTGTGGAGGATCAGCAGTAACACAGCCTTCTCTACAAAAACAACCTATGTTGCCGTTCACCTCACCTCCTATTAGATGTTCATACAGCTTTCAGATGAATAAATCACCCCAGATTTTCCAACTGTAAGAAAAAAGCTGGGATGTTCATTTATCCTGTTCCAGTCACGTGTTTCAGGATGAGATGCTGGATCAAACTGAAGCAGAAGGGTTGCCCAGAGAAGCTGTGGATGCCCCATCCCTAGAAGTGTTCAAGGCCAGGTTGGATGGGGATATGAGCAACCTGGTCTAGTGAAAGGTGTCCCTGCCCGTGCCAGGGGGTAGGAACAAGATAATCTTTAAGGTACTTTCCAGCACAAACTCTTTGGGCATTTGCATCATGAATGTCCCTTCGAGGACTAGAAATGGATTCTGAGTGACCAGCTCAGAAGCTTTCAAGCAGGTCTAAAACTCTCCAGAGGACCAAGCCAGCTTTTCCCCCACAGGTAAATTTTTCCAGCCTGACCCTAATCCCACCTCAATCTTACATTCTGCACGCAGGGATGCAGCGGAGATGAGCGGGAGATGGCAAAGATGGTAGCTGACATCGTCTCTAGACGGGACAAGCACACCATTTTGGAAGGACAAGAGCCAGCAGAGTTCTGGGAAGCTCTGGGAGGCAAAGCACCTTATGCCAGTGAAAAGAGGTAATAGTGACCTGCTTGTTCCTCTGGGCCTGGCCAAGGAACATTAGGCAAGGGATCAAAACTTGGCAGGAAAGTGAGTGCTTTGATACTGTGTCCTCACTAAAGGGAGCACAAGGTCAGAATATCACCAAAAGCTTGGTCAGAAACCACACTGAGATGACTCCTCTCTAGATTTTGGGTCAGGCCTTCTGTGTAGTAGGAGATCCAAACCCTGCAGACAAGGGTGTGCTACATCCTCCTTTTCCCACAGTAAACCCACCCCATATCTCATCATAAGGGCTACAGGAACAACATTCTCCATTTCCAGCCATCATTAGCTTTATGGGCAGCCCCAGAGGGTTCATGAAACTAAAACCTGCCACTGAACAACCTGGATTTCTCCAACCTTTTGGGCAGGTGATGGGTTCCTTTGCAACCAGGTGATCTGATGAGGGTTTCACCTGACATCAGGTTCCTCTCCACAACGAGGGAAGGGCTCTGCTTTTGCCTGCTTTGGGTGGAGGAACAGTTACCTTTAAAAATCATTAAACTGGTCCAAGAATCCCCTTGAGACCCGACTTTCAGGACCTCAGATGACTGTTGCCATGTTCCACCCCTTCCTGCAAGGCCATGGCAAGTAGCACCAGGGCCCTGCAGGAGGCCACGAGGGAAAAACTTCCATCTCTCTTGCTTCTTCCCCTGCCATGCATGAGGAAGGTTCCAAGAGCAGGTCATGCACTACCAGCCTCGCCTCTTCGAGTGCTCCAACCAGACGGGCCGGTTCATCATGACGGAGGTGGTGGGCTTCTGCCAGGAGGACCTGGATGAGGATGATGTCATGCTGCTGGACACGTGGGAAGAGGTCAGCGCAGGTGGTCCCCCTCACCTTCTCCCTCCCCAGATGTATTTCCAAACAGCTGATGGCTTTAACTGGCTTGAATCCATCCCCTCAGTGTGAAGCCAAGGGCGGTAACGCCTTCTGTCCCATCTCCAAACCCTTCGTGGTGGTTGGATGCACTCCCAGTCCTTCTCACCCAGGGACAGCAGAGGTGAGGGAGGCAGCATTGCCAGACCTCTTTCAGAAAGCTGAAAACTGAGTCACCTGGTCCGTGCCTTCCTCCAAGGTGAGAAGAGCTGGACCTGCTCTGGTCTTTTCCAGCTTATACGAGGAGGTGGCACCCAAAAACACTCCCCCTCACTTCCCAGCACCAGGGGTGATGGCTTGCTTTAGGCAATGGAAAACTGTCTCCAGGAGTTTGCTTTCTGAGGTGGATCCATGCAAGGACAGAGTTCAGCTCCCTTGAAACACACAAGAGCTCTGGCCTGAAATATTTATGCTTTATGCCAGTCTCACAAGGAAAATCTTTTCTTGGCTGGGAGTAAACCTGGGATCAGAGTGACAAGGGACTATTGGGAAAGCACGTTTCCAATCTTTCCTCCGCTGCCACTGGCAGGGGAGAGCAAACAGCCGTGTCTGCACAGGTCCCAAGGACTCACTGATCTCCAGCACCTTCTCTCCTTGCAGATTTTCCTTTGGGTGGGCAAAGCCTCCAACGAATACGAGAGGAACGAGGCCATTGCCTCGGCTAAGGAGTATCTCAAGACCCATCCGGCAGGGAGAGACTTGGCAACCCCGATAATCCTGGTGAAGCAGGGCTGTGAACCCCTCAACTTCACAGGGTGGTTCAACGCTTGGGACCCCTACAAATGGAGCGTAAGTGGCTGGAAAAGCCCTGTGGTGCACCTGCACACGGGCTCAGCAGTGCTTAAAGGGTGTTCTTCTCAGGGAATGTGTGGTACAGGGACTGAAACCTCACTAGGACATGTCCTGAGCTTCATAAAATCATGGAAAGGCTGGGGTTGGAAAGGACCTTAAATCTCATCTAGTTCCAAGCCCCCCACCATGGGCAAGAGACACGAGTTCATGGTGCCTGAGCGGCTTCACCAGCAAAAAGTACCTGTTTGGTGAAACTGGGGCTTTTTCAAATACAGGTGCTTGATTTCACAATATTCACATTTTTATTTAAAAAAAGAGATTGTGTTCCAATTTGTGTTTGTGATTTTGGCCAAAAAGAGGTCAGGGCTGTGAGTATTAAAATTAAGTTCAGAGTGAAGACAGAAGGCCCTCTCCTCCCATCATAAGGAAAATTGGGGGAAAAGTGTTCATTTTTCAAAATGCAGCCACAGAGTAGAATTTATGACCCAGCTTTAAGGGCAAACTGTGGTGAAATGAAAGATGTGAGCAGACAGGTCTCATGCTCAGGTTTGTGGAATGCCCATCAGAGCCCAGGAGCTCCTGAGCAAGGTCACCCTTGGTCCCCACACACCAGCCTTCCTCTCAAATCCGGATGTACAAACACCAGTTCTTTGCTACGCAGAAATGGCAACCTGCCCCAGGAGATGCCTGGGAATAAAAAAAATAAAGAGTCCTTTCTCTCCTCTTTCAAACACATGGGCTTCAAATAATTTTAGGAGCATAATTTGGAGCAGGGATTTGCTCATGTGGCCTGTGACTAAAGCCCCACCAGGACCCTGGTGGGTGAGAGGAAGGAGTGATGCACTGGGACGGCCTGGAGGCCCCACAGGACTTCACACTGCAGGAAAACTCTTACAGAGAGACTTTATTTCCTGCATCTGGGTTTGCATCTTCTTTCTTAGTGGTAGTAGAGAGCTCATCTTGACAGCTGGATCTGCACAGATAAGACAGCAACTCCCAGAGCAATGACCCTTAAAACAATGTTGATGCTTAGAACAAAGGTCAGAACTTGTGGGTTTGGTCTGTTGGTTTTTTGGTTGTTTTGTTTTTTTTTTTCTTTTTTTTTGCTGAGGAACTGCTGAAAAACAAGGATACAGCTCATAAAATATGTGCCTCTAAAAATATCCCCTGTAGGCAGCTTCAGCAACTACAGACAAGTCATCCAAACTGTTGACATCCCAGAAACATCTGGTGTGTGTTCGTTGCTCAGTTTTGGGTCTAAATCTGTTTTCTCTGCAGTCCATGTGTTTATGTTGTTTGTTCTTGTTGGGAAACTTTGTTGGATGATTCTGTTAAGAACTGACATCTCCTGGCTGCTTAGGAAAACACAGTCATGAGCTTTGCCAATATATCCAGTATATTCCTTTTATTTTGTTTTTTCAATAAACAATAGGTAGCTTGTAATACATGGCACCTAATTATAAAAAGTCAGATATTGAGGCTTTGAAAAATCTGTTGATTTAGATAAATGATTTAAGGAGAGGGAAAAAAAGCAATAATATTTGATCCCTAATTTTCATGCGTCACAAGATTCATTCAAAATGTAAGATTTAAATCCAGCAGTAAATATGATTTCTCTTCATTTGCCCTCTGCTCTCTAAATCCTTTTAAATTTCCTGTTTTCACCTGTTACTGTACAGCTGCAAAAGCTGAAGTCCATTTGTTTCTTTGTTTTCAAGGGAAGGGCTCAGGTTCTGACACAGTCTCCTGATTCCAGGGGCTGAGGTTTGCAAGGGGCACCAGCTGCCACCTCAGTGAGCACCTCTGGACTTTAAAATTCATCATCTCCTGACCCCTTTAGAGACCAGGAGGGTGGGCTAAAGGCAGCCCAAGCTTCTTACAACTCTCCTTCCCTTTAGGATGGCAAGTCCTATGAGGAGATGAAGAACAGCCTGGGAGACGTGTCGGCTCTATCCGAGATCAAAGTGGTGAGTTGTATTGAGGGACACCTGGGTTCGGGCACCACCACATCCCCCAGCCTGTTCTCATGAAGGAGAGAAAATTGGGATCAGAGCAGGGGATGGGGACCTCAGGCTGTCAGGATCAGAGCTGTGAACCTCTGTGGGAAGGAGGTGGAGATGTGATAAATAAACCATAAACACACCCAGACCTCCTGGGCCTTTTCCAGTCCTGTCCAGAGGCATCTGTGAGCAGAACATTGCCCAGCTGCTTTAATGCAGAACAAATACAAGTGTGTTCAGCCCTAAGAGTGGTCAGCGAAGTGTTGTGTGAGTAGTTGGCAGTGGTGGAGCCCCTGAGACCCCAGGTAAGGGTCCCCTGGTCAAGAAGGGCATGGCCCATTGGGTTATCCTCCAAAGCACAGAGGAAAGGAGATCCCAGGAATCCCAAATGCGACTGTCACACGGGTCAGTTCTGCCCTGGGCAGGGTCAGGATGAAGGCTGGAAGGATGTGGCAGGTTTGGATGAGGAGAGATGGCCCATCAGGGAGGGGTATGCAGGCAATTTTGAGGTTTTAGGCATGGTAGATGTCTAATCTCAGCTTCTGTCCTCCCACATGTACCTTCCCCTGATGTTATCTTGAGAAGAATGAGACTGCTGTAAGTACCCTCAGCTATTTCTAAGAGCTCTCAGTAGTGTGTGCTTTTAGCAGCCCTAACATCAAGGTGTAGCATTTATGGAGGTGCTGGACTAATGCTTTAGTTGGGCCTTTCCCCTCGCTGCTTTGGAGCTACAGATAGTCTTGCCAGAAATAGTCCCCCCACAACCCCAACAGAAACATCCTGGGATGATCCCCAACTTTCTCTGCCAGAGCATTTTGTCTTGACATTTTGTCTTTTCCTCCGTTTGGCAGGACCTTAACAACATCAGCCTGAACAAGAGGACCCTCAGCGTGACCAGCTTGGCCGGTTCGAGCAACCCAAATGCTTCCTCGGAGTATAAATCCCACCTCAACCACAGGGACAGCAACAGCTACAGCAACAGCAGCAACTACAGCAGCAACAGCAGCCCTTCCCCCATGCCCAATGGTGAAGGGGTTTACTCCCGAGAGGTGCTGATGAACAGGACGGTGGATGAACTTCCAGAGGGCGTGGATCCCACCAGAAAAGAGGTGACAGCACTGCTGGTTTGATGCCTTCGTAGCTTAACCTGGAGTTTACTCACTGGATAAGTGTAGCAGCACTTCAGGATGATAAATCCTGCTTCAGACTCAAGGAGGGACTGGCTGGACACACAGGTCTCGTCAAAAGGAGGAGCCTCACGTGAGAGGAAATTCGTAGAACCACAGAGTGGCCTGGGTTGGAAGGGACCTTAAAGATCCCCGAGTTCCAACCTCCCTGCCGTGGACAGGGACACCTTGTGGTGGTTTTACCCTAAATGAAGTATAGTTCTATTTTTTTATGGCCAAAACATGAATTTTAAATAGCAATTTTTAAAAAAAATATATATAAAATGTTTTCTTCCGGTAGGGTTGTTTTTGCTCTGTCCTTGGAGGAATCCAAAGTAGAATTCCTGTGGGACAAGGTGACACAGCTGAGAACGAAGCCAGGATTTGCATTTTGCTGGGGCTGCAGGAGAATGTTTTCATTTGAAGCTCCTTCCAGAAGGGATATTTTTCCTCTCTTTTTTTTCTGATTTAAATTTTATTTTTCTTTATTTTTATTATTTTTTTTTTTATTTTGTCAGAAACCTTGCATCTCAGCAATTTGCAATTTGAGGACAAATGACACATCTCAGATTTCCAATCAGCCCAAGGATTTTGGCAATGTCTGTAGCTGGGTCCAAGCAAGCTGATGGGAGAGACACAGGGTTGATTCCCTCTCCTCTCTGCAACCCATGTTTGACTCGTGTCTTGCCCAAGAGATCTGGCAAAGGCCAACACTCACAGCCAAGAGACACAATCTATGGCTGGGCTGTGCATGAGCTCTTTCTTCTACCCAAAATGCTGGGAAAAAACTCGACCTCCACTTCCCACAGTGTCTTTTCTGGTATTCCTGATGACCCTGCTATCTGCAACCCATCCAGCAATGGGAGTGAATGTTTCCAGTGGAATATTTGGGGGAGGGAACTGAGCAAGGGGGAGATGCTTTCACTGTGAATCACTTGCTAAGGAACCACCCAAAACTTTGGCCAGCAGAACTTCTCTGATGGACTGTAAATTGTCCTGGCCACAGAATGATTAGCAGGGACTGAATTTCAGCCACAGGGCGCTAAATCCTCAAAACCAGAGGGGTCCCTTTGGGCTGATGGGCTTTCATTGCCTTGGTGCTTTGGAAAGTGGGATGAGGAGCAGTTGCTGGGACTTTTCATTTCCCAGCACAAGGACAGGAGCTGTTGGCCTGGAGTCAGAGGTCAGCACTGGCATGGTGAGGAAGGAATGAAGTCTGTGGAGGTTGTCTCAGCCTCTACAGAGGCCAAAGCTGACCTCTCCTTGCTCTCTCCTCCCGCTGCAGTTCTATCTCTCCGATGCCGATTTCCACGACATCTTTGGGAAGTCCAAGGAGGAGTTCTACCAGATGCCCAAATGGAAGCAGCAGAACGAGAAGAAACAGTGTGGACTCTTCTGAGACCGCAGGGGCCATCCAGCATCCAGTGACTCTGCGACCAACCCTCGCCCTCTTAGGAGCTGCAGGGAAAAAGTGCAGGCATTTGCTCAACGAACCCAACCCAACATCCCAAGCAGGCCCAGCTCCAACGCAGTTATTCCAGCAGCCACTGTTCAGGGGATGGCTCCTTTCTGCAACCCCAGAATGCCAGGAGGCAAAACCTTACGCAGGAACAACTTGGCAGGAGATGTTTCTGCCTCTTCCCGACACTTTATTGCTGATAGCCACGAAGACAAGTGTGTGCCACACAACCCTATTGTAGCCTCTTCTTTCGTCTCCCTTTTGCAAATTGTAGGAGTTTAAAATTAGGCAAGACAAAGGCCATTTGCAGCTGCTGTGAAAATGCTGGGTGGGGAAAGGAGGGGGAAGCCCTAAGAGGATAGAGGGGGAGCCTTGAGGCTGGGCAAAACATAGTGGAGTAGCCAGATGTCCAATGGAGTAGTCCATGGAGTGACACCAGACAGTTCTTCCCTTCTCACCTTGTAGAAAAACTACTCCCCAAAGAACAGCAGGAATCAGTTTTAGACTAACAAGCATAGATACGCCAGGGCAGGTAAAACACATGGTTTGGGAAAAAAAGCACTTATTACAAATATATTTATTAGCTGATCTATTTCAAGGGCTAGACACAAATGTTGATTTTGTCTGCCATGCAAGACTCTGTCTACTTTTTTTCTCATTCAGACAGCATCTGCAATCTCACCTGGCCTCCCTCAGCACAACCAGGCAAATGTGAGAGTCCACCTGCCCACAGAGCAGAGGCTTGAGGAATCCAGAAGGGTTTTGGGTATGTCCTGAGGCAGAGCACGTCCTGCTGAAGTTTTTATCAGGGCTGCATCCCTGTGATGCCCGTGGGGCTGAGGGGTGCCTGTTCCACACTGTGGGCTTTGACTAGGGAGGGAAGCAGGAAATATGAGAGTGATCAGTGATTAAGGGGTACAGCTGTAAGCTAGAGGAAGAAACACCTGCTTAAAAGCTCGGGCGACGTGGTTTTTGCAGCTTTACTCCATTTCCAGCCTGACCAGTGATTCCAAATAAACATACAGCAGCAGCACTGTAAGTGTCCTTGATCAGCATGGTGGGGTAGGATGGCAGTAGATAAAAGCTCTGCAGGGCCACAGATCCTTCAAACACCTGGTCATCAATGGAATTTTGGATTTTTTTGAAAAGCAAGGAACTGAGGAGGTGGGGCCCCCGTTCTGTTCCCAGACACCAGAGCCAGGACAGTTTGTCTCCCCACGCCTGTGCCTGCTCCTGAAGCCTCCCACTGCCCATAAGCAGCAGTGCTTGGCTGTGCAGCAGTTGGCCTGACTGCCCATCCCTGCTGTGGGGATGGAGCTGAGGAGCTGCAGGCTCCTCACTGGGGAGTAGCAAAGGGCTCTGACTCAAAACCCAGGACCATTGCACTGAAGTGTCACCATCTGGTTGGGCTGGAGCAGGGACCTCCACGCGGTGGGGTCTTCTGGACAGGTCTCTCTGTATTTAAGAGTTGGCAGTTACTTCATATAAGCCCCAACCCCATCATCACAGCTGGGTTCCTGCCACCCCTTCTGCCCATTTCTGCTTGAGGGTTCATCCCCAAACCCACTGAAACTGCCTGTGCAGAGTAAGTTAAGCACCAAGCAGACACACAAATCAGCCAAATTACCTGTGTGATTGCTCCTGTTGTGCTCACATGAGGTGCAATCAGTGCACATTATCCATGTTTCAGCCTCCACTGCCTCTGCTGGAAGCAGCAATATTTGCCTCACCCCGCTGTGGCATGCTCCTGCCAGCTCCTAAATTAAGGAATTGCGTGTGCTCCTCAGTAAGATGCAGGAATGCCACCTACCAGCCCTGACTGTGGGCCTAATGAGCTCCTCACAGTCAAATGAAAAGTAGCCAAAATATAGTCAGATTAGGGAGATTAGGCCAGTGGGTTACAAATTGCTTTAATTCCTGCTGCCACGATTCTCACCAACATGACCTGGAGCTTTCCTGACAGCAGTAGGAAACCTGCATGGGATTTTACAGACCACAGATCCATCTGACACTTGGGCCTGATGGAAACTGCTGCTGCTCTCCTCTTCTCATGACAGAGTGGTTTTTATTCTCTGCCTCTGCTTTCTAAAGGAAAGATCCTCACCCACATCCTCCTTTTCATGCCGTTTGCTGCTTTTGCTGTGGTGTCTGGTGGGCCATGACCTGTTTCTGCTGTTCTTTTACTCAAAACTCTTCCTTACAGTGGGGCTCCAACACTTCCTAATCTGCTCAGAGATGAGGTCCCTTGATAATGGTATGGACCACATCCCTCACTTTTGGGAAGGAGGAGAATTGTCCGTCATGCTCTGCTCCATCCCATCTCCATCTCAGCCACGTTCCCACATGGTTCCAGTAGTTTTTCCCCAGCTGTTCCTACCTGATGAGGGATGTTTTCTCTTCCCATGGATCTTGCCTGACTTTAATTTATAAAGTGTGCAATAGGCAGAGAAAAAAACATCCTCTCTGTAATCCATCAAAGCCCACCCTGGCCTTGGATGGTGTGGTCTGCCCCCACACCTCTCCCAACACCCTGTCCTCCACTTTTTAACTCAATAATCCAACTGAAGTCTAATCCTGCAACCCCAAAAATGCAAATAATGTGTTTGCAGCCAACCCAGTGGGACGATATGACTTCATAGATTAACAATCACAGAACGGTTTGGGTTGGGAGGTGCCTTAAAGATCACCCAGTCCCAACCCCCCTGCCATGGGCAGGGACACCTTCCACTAGACCAGTTTGCTCCAAGCCCCGTCCACCCTGGCTTTGAACATTTCCAGGGATGGGGCATCCACAGCTTCTCTGGGAAACCAGTTCAAGTCCCTCACCATCCTCACAGGGAAGAATTTCTTTTAACTTGCCCCACCAGAGCTGGTGCTGACAGAAGGGAGGGGCAGGAACATTTCTGATCACACCTGCTGTCCCACTGCATGATGCAAGCTCCCTGCATGGTTCTGGGCAGTCCTGGGTGTCCTCTCTACATGGTTTTTATCCCACTGCTCCTTAAAACAAAGTGCTGAGAGCAGGGACTGATCACCGGCTGTCCCTGGGTGGGAGTCAAGGATGCTTCAGCCCTGGCCTTCAAATGTGTCTCCAACAGCATGCCCCCACCCCAGAGGTGAGTTGGGAGAGCCCATGTCACTGCAGGACACCCTGCTCTGCCTCACTGGCCTCTCCACTCCTGGACTCTTCCACCCCACGGGTCGTTAACGCAATACGAGCCTTTGAGGTGTGGATATAATTCACATTTAATTTGGCAACAGTTTACAACATCTCACAATATTGTAGTGAAGAGGAAAAATCAATGTGTCCAGCAATGATTACCGAAGCATAACAAACTCCACAGAGGAGTAAAAGAAACCCAGCTTCACAGCAGGCCCAGGGATCACTAAATCCAGGCTATTTTGGACTCAAAAACAAGTTGACTGGAGCATGTTTAAAAAGGCATCAGCATCTTTGGTATCAGCCTGTCCTCTCCACCAGCAGGGTTTGAAAACCCCAGAAAGTCTGGTAACTTAAAAAATTAGGCAGGTCTATCTCCAAGTTCATGCGTGTTGCGTTCAAGTAGGACAAAGAGGCAAATAGTGACAACTAATTGGACTCTTCCAGATTTTTTTTCAACTTTTAATAGTCTAACTGATTGTTAGTTGTAACATAGTTGGCGTTTCAAAATATATATTATTTCATATCAACAATATTCCCTTAACTCTGTAGTTCTACTGGAAGGAAAAAGAAGAAATAAAAAATAGCTCGTTGCCATAAATACTGAGCTGCTGTTCAAAACACTCCTGGGTGTCTGTGCTGGGTTACCTCTACAGTGCAACTGGGACCGGCTAACATTTACAGCATCCGCTGCCACTTCCTCTGTGTTTAAAAAACTGACATTTTTCTACAAAAACACCAAGTCTTACCGCATTTAAAAAAAAAAAAAAACCTACTGTCAGGCGAGCGCGTTTCTACTTGTCACCGGCAAAAGGCGTTCTCTGAGGTCCCTTCTGAGTGGGTTTCACTTTGGGTTAGAGGGAAATTGTGCCACTCAGCAGCTCCTTTCTCCTTCCCGGGGTGAGAGCCGGGCTTTGAAGGCGAAGCGGCCTGGCTGGGAGCCAGGCACGCAGGCTGGGCTAGTGTTCATGTATTTTTCATTACAGCACAAAAGGAAAGCCGAGTTACATAACACGGGCCTTTGTAGTGCAGCTTTCTTTTTTTAATCTGTAACAGGGGAAGGGGTGGGTGGGTGGGGAATCGTGTCCCCGTTTAAGACTCCGTGTGGTGAGAGATGGCTGACACCTGCAGCTGCAAGAAGTCACCTTGGCACCTGGCCAGGGATTGCAGGGCTGAGGTGGAGTTTTCTTCTTGCACAGATGTTGGGTGTTTTGTCCAGATGTCTGACTGAACCCAACCCAAGGGCTGTACTTCACTAAAAAAGGGAGTCTCTATTCTCTCGCTAAAAGCAACGTTTAAAAAAAAAAAAAAATCTAAATGGAGTGAACTAAAAACACAGTTGGATTGGTCGAACAGGTACAAAAAGGGTTCGTGTCAACAGCAGCATTGGGGTGTTTCCAGCACGCAGAAGGGAGAAGGTCAGTGGCTGTTTCACATCGGGGTCCGACGGAGCACCTTGTGCTGCTCCAGGGAAGGTGCTGGGGATTGACAGGGCCCTGACACTGGCAGAGTTCACACACTGAATTCCTTCCAGGTCTGTCACGAGGTTCACTGTGCCCTGAAGGAGCCGAGCTGCTAATCACAGTCCTGGATATTGATGTACACAAAGAGGGTGGAGGAGGAGTACGGGTCTCCGTTCTTGGTTAGAAGATGGATGTGGCGATAACCTGGAAGCAGAGGCACAGATGGAAAGCGGCCTTTAGTCCAGTTGGAAAAGTTTGTGCTAACATTTGCCAAGACCCTGCAAAAACATCTCCCTGTCTCAGAGTGTTTTGCTCCCAGCATCCCACAGAACAGGCAGGTCCAAGAGGCTTTGACATGGATAATGTATTGTACCCAAAGCCACTGGGGACAAGCGGGGGGGCCCTTCCCTAGAGACAGTGTTATCAGCTGCCCAAAAAAATCTGTTCTGACCTGAGGTGTGGTGGATCTGGAACGCTCAGGACACTGGAACTTCCCAAAGGGTTCACGGTTGTGAGGAACAGGGAGCAGGGCCTTACCTTGCTTCAGGCTCGTGAAGGGAAGGGTGTACTGCCCGATGAAGTCGTTCTTGGTCGACATGTCAAAGTCTTCCACCACAAACCGGACCAGGGCGAGTGCAGGGATCTCTA